CCTAGTCAAACCTTTTCAGGACCTGTACTGTCTGCGCTAAAATTAATGTCAGCTTTTGAGCAGATTGCCCTCTGAGGAGCAGGTCACCAGATACCCCAAAATAGGGATAGCCTGGGTCTTTAACAATCTCAGGACTGGAACCAACACCTTAGTAAACACAAACAATAGAAGACTACTGCTCCAGGTTGGTCTACGCTAACGAAACCTGTGATGGAACACCTGTCACCCCGACTGGGTGATTCCATCAAACAACCGCTTACTCGCCACAAGACCAAGGTGTTATAGCTGGGCATTGCACCCAAAACTAGACGAGACTACCTTAGTTGCCAAACTGGAACTACTTTATTGAACAAAAAAAATACTGTTTTTATACACTTCAGAAATAGAGGCATTGCCCCCACATGAACAATGAAACAAATATTACATCCCACACTGATTAGATAGCAAGGTGAAGCTGACATCAGTTTAATCTCACCATGTAGGAGCCTCCAAGAGGACTTGTCAACAGACCCCTAAGAGGTGACTCTATTAACAATGGGAATGCATACCTAGGAGGCACATAATCAGAGAAGATAGTGAATACAACACCTTAATAAACACAGAGCAAGAATCCTCCCATAAGGTCTTTTTGCTAATTATATCAACAAGGAGGGGGTTTATGCAGTTAATGCTAGTTTGGGCAGAGACCCCAAATCTGTATGGTGGTCCTCCAGTTCTCAGAGTCTGTGTGTTTTGGGGAGACATGGACTTGAATCCCAAGTAAACACATAGAATAGGGTTTCCTCACATGCCAGGCCCATGGTCAATAGGCATGAGGCTAACCTGCGGACCCCTCCAAAAGCCCCTGTCCCAGTTGGGTCTGTCACGAAAACTCAACACACCTCCCAACATGGTGCTCACCCAGCTCAAATGCTGCACAGTAAACAAAAGAAAATGTCCGGACGGCTGTACTCCTGAACAATCTACTTTACTGTAAATTGCCCATAAATTCCAAGACAGAACTACATACAGTGGGGGGGGGAGAGAGAAAAAAGATGATGCGTTTTGCGCGTTCAGCGCCTATTCATAACCTGTCAGACTGGATCATACTAATATTACATAGCTGTCAATCAGCTAAGGTCTGCTCTCTAAGGCATGTGATCCTGCACAAAAGGCCCAGCTCGGATAGCTTTCCACACACCTTAACAGTTAAAACATTGTTAACTCCAGATTCACTGCACCACATCTTGTATAAAGCGGGGGTGAGGGGTGGCTGTGGTTGGGCAAACACAATCTCAAAGCCCACAAATGTGAATCTAGAAGCATTGCTAAAACATCAATGAGAGACAAAACAAAAAAAAAAAAAAATCAAAAAAGGGTTTTTGCAGATCCATATTCCTGATGAGCTGCACCATAAATGTTACCCTTGTTGTTTAGCGTGTAAAGGGAATTGTCAAAATAATATACATATAATGCTACAAAATTTACAGTTCCAAATGAAACTGAAACCAAAGTTAAACATTACCGATAATCTGCTAATTTACTTATTTTTTCGTGTATTATTTCTTCTTGTATATTTGTATTTGGCTTATGGACGCAGAGCTAGCTCCAGAACGAGCACACACCAGTGCCTCCATAGCAAGTAGCTTGTTATTGAGGGCACTGGTCAAGGGGGAGGAGCAAGGAGCGCTGGTGGGGGACCTGAGAAGAGGAGAATCAGAGCACTGCACAGAGCAGGCAATAATGATATGTTCACTATTTGTTTTTTTTGGTTTTTTTACACATGAAGCTTTAATATCACTTTACACTGCTGAGAAATATCTTCAAAAGAAATATTTTCAATACTATTGGAGTCAATAATATTATTCAGAATAAATTCTTCAAATAGGGATTTTAATGACTCCAGTACTGGAATTTGGCAAGTCTCCATGGAAGATGTTACCTTGATATATCTTCTCTAAAATAAAAACCACCAACTTTCCACAGAGATGTGTACGCCATTAGAGCAGCATCACTCAAAATTGTGGCGCCAGATCTCTGAGATACGTACATCAGAACAACATCATGACAAACTGCAATTGGAAGATTAGAGGGCCAGTTTCCCTTAGAAAGAGGGGTGCAGCAATCAGAGCAGTACTGTACCAAAGTGCAATAGGAAGGTTAAAGATTAAGAGCTGTGAGAACTTAATAACAACGTGCCAAATATGGTAGAGCACTTAATGCGTCAGTTCCCCTCAAAAGAGCCTGTGACATTTTGAAAGCAATGTACCAAATACAATAGCAAGCTTAATTTGCCAGTTCCCCTCAGAAGAGATGTGCGACAGTAAAAAAGCAATGCGCCACATACAATAGAAAGCTTAATGTGCTAGTTACCCTCAGAAAAGACATGCGACTATTTGAACTGCTTTCGCACCAAAGTGTGATAAGAGCAGAGCGCCAGTTTTATTAAGAAGTGTGAGACAAACAGAAAAGCATGCTGCCAAAATCAAGTACCCAGTCCAAACAGGTACATGAATTTGGCACATTCTGCACCACTTTCTCACTGCCTCTTAGACACTTTTGTTAATTCTGCTGTGCCAGTGTTTATGAATTCCAGGGAGTATTTACAGGAAAAGTGTTTAGGATGTCGCTGTGGAAAGTATGTACTGGAGAGGAGTGTGGAGGGTATGACCATGAGCACCATGTGCAGGGCAGAAGAGAGAAGGGTCTGATGATGGGCAATTTGTGCAGAAAAGGCATGCAGAGGGCTTAAGAGCATGCAGCATGCGCAACTAAGAATTGGGGAGGGATTACAGTGAGCTGTAGGTAAAGAAGAAGAGTATGTAGGGCATGGCGGTACATGGTATGTACAGGAGAGGAGTTTAAAGGATCTAGCATAGCTTAGTTTGTACAGAAGAAGAATGCAGAGGACATGCCAGTGGGAAATGTTCATAGGAGTAAAGAACAGAGGTTATTACAGTGGGAAGTATGTATAGGAGAGCACAGTGTCTAACATGGAACGGCATATACAGGTGAGGAGTGGGTAAGTTCTGAGGATGGGCAATAAGTGTAGGAGGGAGATGCTGGAGCTATGACAGTGGTCAGTAGGAAACAAGATTGTAGGGCTTAAGGGTGTGCAATATGTAGGAGATGAGTGTGGGAGGTAAGCCATGGGGCCGTATATGTATAGGAGAGGAATACCAATTGCATTTTTTTTTTTTTTTATATACGTACTCCTTACCTAGCTATCAAAGGACTATTAGTCTCATGATGCCTCCCTTATGACAATCTGATACAGACCAGAGAGAACCCTGCATCTATAGACGAGCTGAGGAACCATGTTCCTATGCAATGTTTTTAAAATATATGTACATACATACATACAGAAGGGCAGCCATGTTCACCCTTTTTTTTTTTTTTTTTTTTTTTTTTTTTTAAAACAGAGGTTCTGCTGCCTAATTAGTAGTGCTGTATAAGAATGTAACTTTACTGCTAGACCAATGTACTGCTCTGCCAATGTACTGCTTTACTGCTCTGACCAGACTGAAAACACATTCTCTGTAAGGCTAAAACATCCATATACCTTTAGTTCTTTGTAACCAAGAAAAAAAAAAACAGATTTCTCTGTCCACGCAAATGAGGTGGATGGAGTGATGGATAATATGACACTCCAAATGACAACTGTAGGATGGGAGTATCTCCCAGAAAGCCAGAAGGATCCTCCACCAAGCAACACCATGCAAGGCTTTCCAGAAATGTGGGACAACCAAGTTAAAAAGGTCAACATGCATCTGTTCAGTTGCGCAATGATGTCACAGCAAGCGCCTCCTGCGCACACACCTGACGTACTCTGTGGCACGGATGAGCAAACTTGCAGTTTGCAATAAGTCATTTTTTATTTTACCAGCTGATGTTTACAAGCACTTTTACTTCATTTAAATGTGAGTGGTTTACCTTTATAAATAAAGGGGTAAATATGAATGGAACACACTTTGATATGTCAATATCGGCATGGACAAGTAATTGATGAACCTTCTCCAAGCACTTTCTGAGATGAATATGGTGTCTTCTACCCTCTGATGGTCACTACTAAGATCTGTGAATTATGCAAATGTTGACCTTTCTTTAACCAGAAGGTCACATGTTTCAGGTAAGCCTTGCATGGTGTTGCTTGGTAGAGGATTCTTTTTGCTTTCTGGGAGATACTCAAATCCTACAGTTGTCATTTGGAGTGGCATACTATCCATCACTATTTCAGCCTTTGTGACTTTCATATATTTTGTATTGCACTGATGGATTTGGACATTTAATATTTAAATGCACAGTCTGTTTATTTAGAGCACATTTATTTTTATGACTAAGTGCGACACTTGTTTTAAGCATTTTGTGACTATGATAATATCTTATAGTGTGTTTGCAGCTGTTCTAGGGTTTCCATATTTTCTTTTATTTACCTAAGCACAGTTGACATATTTTTCACAGCTTTATCATTTATGTCAGGACAAACAAAACACAAAAAAAACCAAAACACAAAATTCACTACATCTCAGCCAGAACACATTTCTCATATGTTATAAAGACAAGTGGTAGAGGTGCCCTGTAGTCCAGCAGTACAGAACTGGGATGGTCCGATACCAATGCTAGGGATTTCAATGCAGCACTTTTAGTTAACTACAGGAAGTAGAGAATTGTATGGTGCATACTTTTTTTTTTTTTTTTTTAAATGTTGTTTACACTTTAAAAAGTAAACCTGTCATAAAGAGAAGTATGTGGGCTGCCACGGCTGAATTCCTGAAAATTTTAGATGCCTAGTTGTCGTCTTACCCATATATTTTTTTGGGTCACCAACTGAAAACAAGCATGAAACCAGTGAAGTCAAAACCCTTGATAAACATTCTGGAGTCACTCAATCAGAAAGTCAAACAACAAGTGAGCAAAATTGCTAAGAACCTGAAGGAGGAGCATTTTCAAGAGTTCTGCAATAGTAGAACACATACTTCTCTAATGACACTTTTTAAACACTAGATCAAGATGAAGTTTACCTGTGCTCCTCCCAGGAGCTGTGCCCGCTGAAGTGGGGTGAGGGCAGAAGAGAACGGGTGTCTCAAAAGCGCTGCCGGGTTATTCTGCAGAGACAGAAAACTTAAACTAGTGTCTAACAAGCATCTAGGTGCCGGAAGCTACAATCTCAACAAAAACAATGCAAAACAGGAGGCATGTACAATTTTACAGTATGTAAAGCAAAAACATTTTAGTTTCATTTTTGATAGTGTAAGGAATGGTTAAAGGTCCTGTCAGGGTTATTATGCCATTAGTGTGTTTCCTTTCAATTTCTACCCTGTAGACAGCTGGAAATTGGAAGAAATCTCTGCAAAGTGAGGGAAATTGTAATGGTAAAAAAAAAAAAAAAAAAAAGGGTGTGCATGCCCCTTTAAATGCTAATCTTATACAAATAAATCTCTGAATGCAGGTATACTTGTGCAATATAAACAAAAATCAATAAATCAACCATACTATACTGGTGTGGGACACGCTGGTGCACCAGTGCATGTTGACGTCATCAACCCAGCTCCACACAAGGCGTTTTTTCTGATGCTTCTAGGAAAGGAGGACTGGTGCATCAGCATGTCCTGGCAGCTGTGCTTTGTGAATCTGTACACCGCTTGTCACTTCTCATACATAGTATGCGCAATGGTCAAATAAATAGCTTTTAATGATGCTGTACTATGAAGCTTTTCCTTTTTCCTTTCGTCTGGTTTTAAAGGATAAGTTCACCTTTGGGAACATGTTACATGTTCCACCCTAAAAAAGGGGTGGAACATCTAATTTGTTCCCAATGCTGCAGCTCCCCCTCCCTCTGACAGATAATAAGGGGAGAAATTTCCTCATACTATCTGCCAGATTTGAAAACAGAAATGCCATGCAGGGCCCTGCCCACATGGCCACATTATTCATTCACAGACTTCCGTGAATTAACTGAAAGTCTCGGCAGCCTTAGCGGATGTGGGCTTGTAGTTTTCAATGAACTACCACAGTGCTGTGGAGCACCGTGGTGGTTCAATGAAGCTTCCTGTCAGAATATCTGCTTGGCCGTACATCCCGTATGGCAAGAAGACCTGCATGGCAACAGCAATCTACGGATTACTGGGGCAATGCTTTACAGGCTCCTTTGGACAAAAATTAATAAATGCACATTTTTTTACCTGTAAAAAAAAATGTGCATTTATTATTTTTGTCCAAAAGGTGAACTTACCCTTTAAATGTTCCTTTGTCTAAACTGTGTGGCAGTTGGAGGGCTGCTGGAGTGATTTCTGTGTGGGGACTCTATTGCTGCAATACACTAACAGGGTCATGGACCCACCTGGAGTCTACATAGTGGAAACATTGGTGTTTGTAGATTGAAAAAAAAAAAAAAAAGTGTGCATTGTGGGGCCATGTCCATCTGATAAGAGGCTTGGATGTGTGGAAGCACTTTGGCATATTGAAACACTTTAATAGTTTTCATTCATCACCGAGCACTTTAAGGCACCTGGAGGTTAAGTGGAGTCTGGATTATGCATGGACTTTGTTTTACTGATGACAAAATGTTCATTTGGTATGAATTTTGATCTCATGCCCATATTGCACAAGTATATTATGGTTGACTATTGATTTTTGTTTATATTGCATAAATAAATCTGCATTCAGAGACTTATTTGTATAAGCCTAGCATTAAATGCTCATCTCTTTTTTTTTTTCCTTTTTACACTTTTAATTGGTTGAGAATTCAGGATTTGTTTGGTGCAGAAGCTTTTTTTTGGTGTGATTAAACTAAGAGCGGGTATTATTTTCAGAGTAAAGTAAAACCCCTCTTAGTTGTCACCAGAACAAGTTGGATGATTCTGTTCCTCTATCCCTGTTCTGGTGTAGCCAAATTTTTGGATTTTTCCACACCTTCAGTCCCAGTGACAAATAAAGGATGAATTTCCCCAACAGGGACACAAAACACAATAAAAACCTTTCAGGGTTTCTAGCCTTACCACTCTATTCAAGTTTTGGCTTTAGGTGCAATTTAATCCAATAGAGACTGAAAACTTGAATAATGTCTATATTCAGTATTTCTAGGTCATTTTACAATAAAAAAAAACAAAAAAAAACTGCAAGACAGGAATTTAAATAATGTAAGTTATTCACTTTTTATTTTTCATAAAGCTTCAGCACATGCAGTTTTGTTAGTATTATGCCAAGGTGCTTATTTCTCACAAAATGCCGGTGATCAAGTTCCCAGCTCCATGATCACCTGACTACTTGATGTATACTGAGAAACACAGCAGATCTTTCACCTTCATGTTTTACTGCCACCTACATGAGGATTGGACACTAGCAAAACACAAACCAAAAAAACCATTCCCACCACCAGCATGCCTCAGTTTTGTAACAAAATAGCAAATCCAGAGAGGTGGGACCTTTGTCCCTCAAAGAAATTCAGAAAAAGGATTTTTACAGTAAGTACAAAGATCCTATTTTCTTTCCCGTCCACTGAAAGATACAGGAAGAAATGAGGACTATACAACACCACAAGTAAACACCAACAGGACCAAGAAGACAACAGAACAAGGAGCTGCCTGCAGCTCACAGAACTGCCTGATGGACCTTATGTGTGAAGCTGGCATCAGATTATGCTTAAATGTCCACCTGACAGAACTTAAGAGAACATGTGAACAGAAGACCAGGTGGCCAGCCTTGCAAATCCGGTAAACAGTTGATCAATACAAAAAGTCAGTCAGAGTGGCACTCACAGATTTAGTACAGAGTCTTTATAGGAAAAGAAGGAACCAGAATTTTGAGACTAAGTTTGGAGAAGTCTGCCAAGCCACCTAAAAAATTGTGGAATGAGAAGCCGAATTACCTTTAAAGGGTCTATATTAGGTTACAAAAAATCCATCTTTATAATAGTGGCTGGGAAATAGATCCAGAGCCCAAACCAAATACAGGCAATGAAGGAAATGTTTCTTTTTAACTGGAGCCAGATAGCCGGATGTAAGAACAAATGTCCTGACTTAAGTAAGAAGTTCTTGGCTTGACACCACCTTGTCCCTATGCAAGGAAAGAAACTCACTGTGTGTGTTAAAATAGAGAGAAGATTGTTCCTAATGGGCTAAAATACGAGTTTTTGAATCCAAAGAGAACCAGATTTAAATCTCAGCGTTACATGGGAAGAACTAGGGGAGCACAGGAGACAAACTGTACAAAGGTCTTAATAGTGTGAGGCCAACTGTCTCAAACAATAGAAGGAGCAAAAACCTAGTCCTTGCTAGTGCTGAGAGCCAAGTGCTGGTCTAGGCTAAGCTGTAGAAAGCCAAAAAAAGACCAAGGACCTGGGATGTGTTCAGGATCAGTCCCAAGTATTCCACACTGCAAGTTCAGTCCAGCACAGACTTCTGAGGATTGAGGAGTCTGCACAGTCCATTGCATGCTGGCATTCAAAGCCTGGATGGAACAATCCTTCAAAGGGTTACTAAACCCACAACAGTAAAATCAGTCTGTACATGCTGTAAAGCATGCTTGTTATGCTCACTGTGGAACCCAAGGGGTTAATCCTCTGCATGGTGTAGGCTGTTTGATCCTGACTTCCCAGATCATCCCCTTCTTCCAGTGTTCCCCTCTGATCTTCGGATAAGATATATTGTGTGGAGTCCCTCTGAACATGCTCAGTTTTGTGTGTATGGCTAGAGAGGGTTGTTTTTTTTTTTTTTCTTCGGAGAGTGCATGTGATCAGCAGAGGGCCAATCTGCGCTGTCCAGACAGAGGTCAGGGGTCCTGCATCCTCCTAGAGCAAAATGAAAACTCCTCCTACAGAGTTCTAACCAGTGCTCTGCTGGACACTGATAGAAGTCACAAGACTGCTATATACAGCTGATTAGAAAAGGTATTTAGCAGTTTATATTTACTAAAATAATTGCATTTCCATGCTTCTGTGTGGTGTGGGAGACCAGATATAATGAATGCAGGGTCCAGCGTTTAGTAACACTAACAGCAGGTCATGCAGGTGGTCCACAATGTGAACACCAAGAGCAAAGAGCCATGAACAGGGGCCAAGAATTTTGTAAAGGCCAGAGGAGCAATGGATAGGCAAAATGGGAGGGCCACAAACTTAAAATGACAGTCTTCCGCTGAAAATTTAAAAAAAAAAAAATGTTGGTGTGGAGGAAGATAAAAAAAATAAAAAATTAGAATGTGCAAATAGGCATCCTTGATGTCTACAGACACCAGCAGATCCCTTGTTGCAGTGATGCAATGACTGACCTGGCTGATCCACACAACATTTTTGGATCTGAAGGAAAGTGCTGAGGCACTTCAAGCCCAGGATAGGACAAATGCCACCCTTTGAGAATAGAACGTGGGTCAAGGGAGATATCTTTAGACAAGACCGCAAAAGTCTCACAGATCTTAATAGAGGCAAATACAGGCTGCATAGCAGGTCCCACTACAGTGAAAGAAGCCTTAAACAGTGATTCCCTCCCGTTGGCAAGCCTAAGGTACCGATCCAGAAGCTGAGAAAAACCCAGAAAGACTAGTAGATAGTGACGTTGGAGCAGAAAAATAGGACGCTAGTAAAAACTGAGGATAACTGTCAGTGGGAGGGAATATGATGGTCCTTATTGTTCTGCTTGCCAGTGTCCACTCACCTAAAGGTAGCAACATACTGTATAACCCAGTTGTTTAGGACTATGCCTGTGTCCTGTACGACCAAGAAAGATTAACAACTAGCTGCTCTTTTAAATAAAAAAAAAAAAGGTCAAATACACTGAAACCATGATACATTCCTTTTGATTTACAACATTTCCATTTCTACATTTCCTTCTTTTTCAAGTAATTTCTGTTTAACATGCTTACTAGTGCACTACTCTACCTACTACTGTATACCCACACTACTAAACCTACTATAGCTACAAAGCACAGATAATTTACTGTAACATACCGGATGGCTGTTGAATGGGGATGAGGCAGCTCGAATGTGGATAGGATTTGGGCACAAAACCTGTTGGAAATTGAAAAAAAAAAATCTATTACCTTCCAATAAAGAAAAAATAATTTGGGTTTATTTTCCAAAATTTTTGAAAACATTTAAAACGTATAGAATTATCAGAAATCGTAATTTTTTAGCACTTTCAAAGTTACATAGTTAGTCTGGCTGAAAAAAAAAAGTCCATCCAGTTTAACCATAAAAACAGGACACAAAAAAAAGTTATTATCCTGTACCCACAGTTGATATAGAGGAAGGCACAAAAAAAACCAGCAAAGCACTATCCAATTTGCTCCTGCAAGGAAAAAAATCCTTCCTGATCCCCCGAGAGGTAATCGGATATTCCCTGGATCAACTTCACCAATAAATGTTAGTATCCAGTTATATTCTGTGTATCTAAGAAAGAATCCAGGCCTTTTTTGAAGCAATCCAAAGAGCTGGCCAGAACCAACTCTTGAGGGAGTCTATTCCACATTTTCACAGCTCTCACTGTGAAGAAACCTTTCCGTATTTGGAGATTACATTTCTTTTCCTCCAGATGTAAGAGTGCCCCCTTGTCCTGTGTGATGACCTCAGAGTGAATAACTCTACTTCGAGTTCACTATATGAACCATTGATGTATTTATGCACGGAGATCATATCCCCCCTTATGTATTATACATGGAGATCATATCCCCCCTTTATGTATTATATATGGTGATCATATCCCCCCTTAATCTCTCTTTTCAAGAGAGAATAAATTCTGTTCCTCTAATCTTTCCTCATAGCTGATCTCCTCCATGCCTCTTATCAGTTTGGTTGCCCTTCTCTGTACTTTCTCCAGTTCCCCAATGTTCTTTTTGTGAATTGGTGCCCAAAACTGAACTGCATATTCCAGATGAGGTCTTACTAATGATTTGTACCGGGGTAAAATGATAGCTCTCTTCTGGAGTCTATACCTCTTTTAATACAAAAAAGGAATTTGCTTGCTTTAGAAACTGCAGCTTGGCATGGCATGCCATTAAGCTTGTGATCTACCAGAACTCCCAGATCCTTCACCACTGATTTCCATTGAGTCTAGTCAAAAAAAAAAAAAACCAAAACACGACAAGTCCATCTAGCTCAACCATAAAAAGGAAAAAAAAAAATCAATAAAAAAAAAATAAAATTATAAATTTAAGCTATATAGATGTGGTACTGCATATTTAACAAAGCCACTATCTACACGTTGACCAAAGAGAACTTATGTTTGAGCACGACAAAGGGTAACATAGGACAAACCCATGAAAGGACTATGTAAATTTTGACTCCTAGGCTAGGAAAGGTGGAGGGTGTTAGGGTGAGATAAGTTTTGTTGTATTCTGTGTACTTACCTGTATTATGCTCTCCAGTCACATGATAAAGCCAAGGGAGTACTTCACCTCATTCTGAGTGAGGATTCATGGGTTGGGGGAGACTCTGTATAGAAGTGAATCTATATTTTGGGAGATCGCTACGGGGGGGGGGGGGGGGGGGGGGGGGGGGGGAGAGTGCAACATCTGGTGTATTATGCACTCCTGATTCCCTGCTGTATACACACTATGCTGTGTATTTCATACTCCTGACCACAGCACTCCATATTATATAACAGTTGCTGGTTGTTAAGTAGTCACTTTAGTTAATGAAGCTTTTCTTCAAGGTAGACATTATGCAGAAAATATGATATTCCCCTGCTCACCTGCCTCATGTGTGCCCTTAGGGGCCATGCAACGGTGCAATCTGTGACCCTGCCATTCATAAAAACGACTGCTTATAGTGATCATCACTGTAATAAGCAAGCATAGCATTTAAAAAATCCTGAACATCTCTATGGTGACACTGCACTGTTCTAGTGACTGAATGTGAAAAAAAAAAAAAAAAATTACGAAAATAAATTGTATTTATTTTCCCAAAAAATGACAAAAAAACTCACTATGCCTCTTTACTAAATATCTTAGGGTGACTACTTTTCAAAAAAGATTATTCTGAGGTATTTGTACTGTCCTGCCTTTTTGGGGCCTCAAGATATTAGATCGGCCAACAGTACATCAGGATTGATCAATTTTAAAATAAATATACCATAGTTTGTAGGCTCTATAACCTTCATACAGACTAAGTAATACACACGGAGTTGGGCTCTTATTACTAAAGAAGCTTAGCAGAATTTAATTTGGTGTAAAATTATGAAGAAAGTTTATTTTCCAAATTTTAAAACAAAACGCAAAAAACAAAGAAAAAGTTTGTTTTGTTTATATAGCATAAAAAAAAAAACACAACAGAAGGAAACCTCAATAGGTCTCAAAAATGATTAAAAAATGATAAACATTTCATATGGGTACAGTTTTGAATGACTGAGCAATTGTCATTCAAAGAATGACAGCAATGAAAGCTGAAAATTGGCCTGAGCAGAAAGGGGGTGAAAGTGTTCAGTATTGAACTGGTTAAAGTATGTTTTGGGTACAGAAACAATGGTATATGTTACCATGCACAGTGTGAAGGCTCAAGTTTTATGCCCCTCCACCAATTTTACCATACCCCTATGGCAAATTTGTCGCAGCACTAAATTATTCTCCACTAGGTGCCCAAGGCTGAAAACCCCTGCTCAGGAAAAATAATATCTACTGCCCTGACAATCCCACATTTACAGTGGTATACATACTAAATACAGTATATGTAAACAATTTTACCTGCCAAAGGATTTTTAATTCTGTTTGGCCAATCTGGTGATCTGTATAAACCTGCCACAGTACACAGCCTAGAAGACCACATTACTATTTCCTGATGCTGCTTCCAGGATCACCTCCTCGGTCAAGGTGGGGCTACTTCAATTTCATGGACCAAACAGCAAGTTGTAGGTCACACTTAATGCATGTACTTTTCATGAGATCCTCCAGTTCTGAAGAACTCCCAGCACAAACACTGGAACACAACCAAAGGACACTTCGTATATGTGTTGCAATGTCATAAAAGGGTTAAAGAAAATGGCAAGAAGGAGTTCAAGGCTCCTTTTTCACATGCTTAAAGCCCCTTTCACACAAGTGTACCGATGATCGGGACCGCCTGTCAAACGCTACACTGTCCTTTGTGGAACGGCGGATTTAAAAAAGGACGTGTCCATTTACACCCACGTCTGATCAAATCCATTAGAATACAGATGGGTGGAAATCCGATTGCCTTCCGTCTACCATATCAGATGGGATGACAGTCGGGTGTAAACGGACAGACAGTCCATTTACATCTGACAGCCCACAGAGGAAAGCAAGCTGTGGCCATGTGGCATAAATGGTGTGAACACATACCTGTCATTTGTCTGCTCAACAGGGATCAGCAAACAGATCCCCTGCTGAGCAAGCGGATCTGCCCCATGTGAAAGGGGCCTAAAATTAATGTTCATTACTTTTCCAAAAATAAATATAAATGTAAGTATGCATATCTCCTACCTGACCATACTCTACTTAAGCTGCAAATCACGAATGCTGAGGCTACTACAGTGTTGGCAGCAGTCCTTCAGGTCCAGCAACCAATGGCTCCAGAATAGTAACCTCAAAGAGTCATTGCATGGCAGTGTTGCCATTCAGAGAAAGCCTTGTATTTGTTGCCATTCAGAGAAAGCCTTGTATTTTTGCCATTCAGAGAAAGCCTTGTATTTTTGCCATTCAGAGAAAGCCTTGTATTTTTGCCAGAGAAAGCCTTGTATTTTTGCCATTCAGAGAAAGCCTTGTATTTTTGCCAGAGAAAGCCTTGTATTTTTGCCAGAGAAAGCCTTGTATTTTTGCCATTCAGAGAAAGCCTTGTATTTTTGCCATTCAGAGAAAGCCTTGTATTTGTGCCATTCAGAGAAAGCCTTGTATTTGTGCCATTCAGAGAAAGCCTTGTATTTTTGCCATTCAGAGAAAGCCTTTTACTCTGATTGAATGAGGAGGAGAACGTGATGTCTCCTCCCCACTTCTCCACTCATACAATCAGACACCTCTGAGGGGGCTGAAAGGCTGAATAATGTTCCAATTTTTGTAATTCCCAGTCCTCATTAGGTAATATGGCTTAGAGCTGCTGGAGCTATCACCAAGGACACCTGTTGAGAATTACACCTGTCACCATGGGGCGGCACCCTCTCCTTTTTAAAGCCACAACATTGGTTGTCCCAAACAGAAGGCTTATGCAGGGAGTCCGGGGTGTGTATCTATAAGCAGAAGGAGGGGGCTTCAGCCTCACGTCTCTATGAGAACCAGTACAGAGCCTGAAAGGGCAAATTTGAAAATACCTTGAATGCATTAAAGATCTGTGTTCCTGACCACCAAATTATCAGCAACTACACCTCCACATGGGTGCAAAAAACAAAATCCTCCAGCATCATCTGTGTGAATACCAATGCATATTTTATCATTACTACTCAAATGTGCCTAATAAAATAAAATATGAGCTTTAAGCAATGCTGTTACCTGCTGAGTGAATATAGGGCCAACATGTTTTGGTGGAGTGCCAATGGGAACAGCTCGCACAGGGGGGCTTCCAATAACTGGAGAAGTAGAGCGACGGGGCAAAGCTCTTTCTGATGCATCTTGTTCTGAGTCATCGCGGCCAGGTGGAGGCATGGGACCTAAGCCATACTCATGTAGTAATGACAGCGGACCCATATCCTTTAATGTAAACAAAAAATTCATTGTGATCATGTTGAAATCCACACACAGTGTATTTATTAAGAACAAATCAAGAATGGGTATTTGTAATAATGTAAATCACCCCTTGCCACAAGCTCTTCCCTTCATTGTATTGGGCAGGTTGGAATATGAAAAATGAGTTGATTTCGTGGGATGCACAAACAGCTCTTTTGGTGCTTTCATAGACATTTTGTGAATATCACATATCATACCTTGCTCTTGTTCCTCTAACCTTTTACAATATGGAGGAGCCTGATAAAACATTTATGGCTGCATAACGTATACTAGTTCTAAGCTAGAAATATTTTTATATCACTTACCTCTGTGAGCAAAGGCCCTCTGATCGGCCTCAAGTCGGGATCCCATATACTGGAGTTTATCCGAGAAGAAAGCTGGGCAGAAAAAAAAATAAGAAGAATCAAAAACTAAATACAAACCTGCAGACAAATTTTGTTTCTTAACCGCTTACCCGCTGCTGTATAGCAGATATACCGCTACACGGTGGCACGCGTGCACGTATTTTGCATTTCCAGGTAGGGGACTTGCGCGAGGTGTGCGTGCACGCCCTACCTGCGCCGCCATTCGCAGCCGCGGATGTCAATCACCGGGTCCCGGCCGGTGACTACCCACAATCACCAACGGGGAGGAAGACTGTGTTGCTTACGAACAGTCTTCCTCCCTGTCAGCTCGGGCACACTGCTCGGGATGGTGTGCTTACAGTGAAGAATACACCCCTTGCCCCCTAGTAAAAACACTCCCTACACAGTTAACCCTTTGATCGCCCCACATGTTAACCCCTTCCTGCCCAGTGCCCTTAGTACAGTGTCAGTGCTGTTTTTTAGCACTGATCACTGTATTGGTGTCACTGGGGATCTATACCGCAATTTGTAAATTCTATAAATTTCATGTAAACCAACTTACACGTATTGGGATTTTTTTTTTTAGCAAAGACAAGCAGAATAAATTTTTGCCTAAATTGACGATGAAATTAGATTTTTAAAATTTTTTTACTGGACATGTTTAATAGCAAAAAGTCCAAAATATTGCTTTTTTTCTCAAAATTGTCATTCTATTTTTGCCTATAGTGTAATCAAAACACCGCACAGGCGATCAAATACCACCGAATGAAAGCTCAATTCGTGGGGCAAAAAAAGCACATAAATTTCATATGGGGTGCGGTGCTGCATGACCGTGCGCAATTGTCAGTTTTTTTTTTTTTTTTTTTTTAAAAAAACCTCTGTCCCTCATATAGAAAAAAAAAAAAAGAAAGCAAAAAAAGAAGAAGAACAGTGTTTATTAATGTCTTGAGGTCGACGTGTCTGGTTCATTCAGAGCTTGAGGGGTTAAAATGAGCTCATGGCTCTAATAGCAACCAAAAGATTGCTTCCTTTTTTTTTAGCCATTTCCTGGATTTTATGTAAGGACTAATTTTCACTAACAGCAGCCTTTTCCACCCTTCTGAAATCAATTCTGGGATCAGAAGGGATGCAATATGTCGCCTTCTCACCACCTGTATAAATCATGAAAAGCCCACACCGCTGGACCATAACCATGCGGCTCTAGTCACTTGAAGACGGGGTATAATTTTTGCTAAGGGTAAAAGCATCATGGTACGAGTACAACTCCATCCGGCCTCTGCGTTGGGTAAGCAAGAAGGGGAACACAGTAAAACTGTGGCTCAATTGCCTATTTTTACTGCCCCTCTGGCCCCAAGTATGAACAAGACCTAAAAGCAACCTGGACCTGATCAATTTTATGGACCTTGTTAGATACTGCTCTTCCTGGAAGCCAAGAGCCAAGGACCACAAGAAACAGCTTTAGGATGGCAAGTGGGAGGAGATATGGAAAAATCTCTTCCCCAATCTCCTCTGCTGCGTGTAAAGCTGAACCTTCTCAGCTTTGTGGATTTCTGGGTTCACAGCAATCAAAATCCCAACCAAAAAGCCAGGCAAACAGCAGATCGAGGAAAGTCCTGTATTTTATCGGCTTGTACACAGGACAGGGGACACAACTGTGAATGGCTTTTTAATCTGTGTAACCCCCTTTGCCTGTTTACCTTACCACCTGCCCTGCCATCCCCTTTAAATGTTCTTAACGCTCAGGGGAGGCAGGAAGAATCAGTAACCATGTGTCCACTGTGACAGGCTCTTGATTTGAAGCCAGTCCCACTAGCTACCGATGTTTACTCAGGACCAAATCTTTGTGTCGGAAGTGTACAGCGAGCACACTCCCAGCAGATAAAACACCGCCCGTCCCATGACGCATATGTGCAGCATGTGGACGTTAAAACACAGCTTTCTGCCTCCGCACATATGGATTTTGGTGAGTAAAGGGGATGATAACACATATACACACGCACGTGATTTTGCATTTCCATCTGCGGCTGTCAATCACTGGGTCCCGAACAGTAATTACTCGCTGGCACCCGGTGATTGCCGAGTATCTCCAACAAGGAGGAGAACTGTTTGTACACAAAACAATTCTCCTTCCTGTCAGCTTATGCACACTGCTTTGGATGCTTCCAGTGAAGCACAGGGACACAGCACCCTTTAATCACCCCTCGTGTTAACCCCTTCCTGCCCAGTGTCAGTGCTGCTTTTTTTTTTTTTAAGCACTGATCACTGTATTGGTGTCACTGGGGATGTCAGTGACAACAAGTCAGTTTTCCCCCAGTGTCAGAATGCCCGCCCCAGTCCCGCTATAAGTCACTGATAGCAGCCATTACTAGTAAAAAAAAAAAATACAAAAAAAAAATCCCAGTATATATACACACCGTCATTTGTAAACGCTATAACTTTCACGTAAACCAATTAATTTACAGATATTGGGATTTTTTTTTTTTTTTTTAGCAAAGACATGTAGCAGAATACATTTTGTCCTAAATTTATGACAATTTGATTTTTTACATTTTTTTACTGGACGTGTTTAATAGCAAAAAGTCCAAAATATAGTTTTTTTTCTCAAAATTGTCGTCTTTTTTTTTTTTTTTTTAAATAGCGCAAAAAAAAAAAAACAAACAAACAAAAAACACACAGGCAATCAAATACCACTGAAAGAAAGCTCTATTCGTGGAGAAAAAAAAAAAAAGTATGTAAATTTAATTTGGGTGCAGCGTTGTATGACCGCGCAATTGTCAGTTAAAGTAACGTAGTGCTGTAAACGCAAAAAAAAATGGTATGGTCAGGAAGGGGGTAAATCCTCAGGGGGGCAAGTGGTTAAAATAGGAAACATTTAAGAGAGAAAACACCACCACCCCTTTACAAAACACTAGTTCAGCCTCATCTTGAATATGAAGTTCAGTATTGGTCTCCAATCCTCAGAAAATATGTTGTTAAATTAAAAAGAGTTCAGCGAAGGGCAACAAAATTAATAAGTGGGGTGGGTTACCTCAGCTATGAGAACCAATTACATAGATTCCAGTTATTCAATGGAGAAGAGTGCTTAGAATGGGATAGCATTACTATGTACAAAAGTTAAAGGTGACTCGAGTAACTGTAGTAAACTGTTGATTGCTTTAAGGTTCCCGAAGCATGAAGCGGAGTATACACGGCTATGGGAATTGTTAAAAAATAAAAATCACATGCAGTTTGAACTGGATGGATCTGTGTCTTATTTTAACCTTATAAAACGCTGTAGGAGAATTTGCTAATATTCCTTGAGCAGGACCTGCACATTGTTCAATATTTGATTACATCTGTCAGTCTGGGTAGACAAAAGGGCTTAGCATGAAAGAAAACAAAGCGTATAATTTCAACAAATTAAAGTGTATTTTTAGTTAGTGCTTTTTTAAATTATTTCTGTAAATGTTCATCTTAAAAAGGTAATGTGCTATCAGGAATAAATATGAAGGTTGCTATTTCAGACCTGCTTTTGAAAATGCCCGACTGCAATGCTGATCTAAGGGCTCATGTACACTGCAGCTGATAAACTGACGTTCAGGAGCTTTTCTGTGTTATTTTCAGCAGCCCCTGAACTTTCCCTAATGTTTTCCTATGTCGCTTACAGTCGTTTTTTTTTTTAACGCAGCAAACTTGCATTCAGGAGTAGATTTTATCAGCGTTCAAATGCTTGTAAACACGGCTAACCGCGTTTATACGTGGTTGCGCTTAGAAGCGGTTTTTGACTGGTCCATATCCAGGACACAATTCACTAAGCGGTACCCTACCACCTCCGAGTATGCGGTAGGATACTGCATAGAATTTTTTTTTAAAAAACCCATTTGAATCCACTAAAAAGGGCTACTAAAATACTGCATGATTTTATCAAGTCGTGCGGAATTTTAGTAAAAGAAAAGCATGCATCATGCTTCAGTTGTCAGCGGGGTTCCCTCCCATCCATACCAAGCACTTCGGGTCTGGTATGAATTTTGAGAAGCCCCACGCCAAAAAAAAAAAAAAAAAAAAAAAAAAAAAAAAAAAAAAAAAAAGGCATGGGGCTTTCTCTCCCCCAAATTCCATACCAGACCCTGATCAGTGCATGCAGCTCCCCGGGTCAGGAAAGGGGGGGGGGGGGGCCCAGCGAGCGTATGGGGTACATGGTACCGCTACCCACTCACAAAAAAAAAAAAAAAAAAAAAAAAAAAAAAAAAAACTGTAGTGTGGAAAAAAGACAGGAATCATTCTTTGACAAGTCCTTTAATAAAAGAACGTCCCCCGAAGTAGATCCAACGTCAATCACGATGTCCGCCGCCGAAGGAAAAAAAACCGCTCCGCTACCATCACTCCCCCGGTCGTCTGCTCAGAAGTTGGTTTGACAGTTCTTAAATATGTAAGGGGCAGGGCCCATCTTGAATGTGACCCCGCCCTATGTGACCTCAGTGACCAGCATGCCCGGTCGATGTCACACAGGGGCAGGATCACACGGGTGATGTCACTGGGTGGCCCCGCCCCTTACATATTTAGGAATTGTCAAACCAGTTTCTGAGCAGATGGCCGGGGGCCAGCGACAGTAGCGGAGCATTTTGTTTTCCTTTTTTTCTTCAGAGCGGCAGGGGTGGACATTGTGATTGACGTTGGATCTACTTCGGGGGACATTCTTTTATTAAAGGACTTGTCAAAGAATGACTCCTGTCATTTTTTTTTTTTTTTTTGCTCTGCCCCTGCGTGGGCGTATCTTGAGCTTTGTTGTATTCTTAAAAAAAAAAGCTTTCTTAATAAAAATATTGAAACAGAAAACGGCAACATCAAAAAGTTTATGTTTAGTTTAACTTTCATACTTTTTATTTGCTTGTTGCACCATAGTTTCATAAATATTACTGGTAGCTGTTGATACTCCTGAAGTGGCTTTCTGTATTCACTGTAGCTAACTTGTATGCTTGTGGGGAGCTTCCTGCTAAGGACTCCCTCCATTACCGACATTCCATCACGATGATGGACAGCCTCACTAGCCACTAGAGAATTGGAGAAAGGTACAAGGAACAAAAGTGATGAAGCTTTGCATCTCAGAAAAGTTTGGGATTTAGCCATGACTTAGTGTTTGGGAGGCAGCTGCAAGGCATCTCTACATACCTACACTTTATACCTGCAGTAATTTTTTCTAACAAGACGCCTTCAAGAAAAGCTAACTACATATTCCTCTGGGGGGGATTAGCAGGTACCTGGTTTTGACAGGTACCCCACTTCCAATTCCGGGTCAGTTTGCTGCACCAAACTGAGCCTGAAATTTGGACACGCCCCCCCCACCCCCTTCAACCTCAGCAGGTCCCAGAAGACTGCAGCCCATTTACAAAGCGCAGCAAGGCTTCACTTCCGGTTTCTCTTACTGAAGATGCCAGCTCCAGCACCCAAAGCCGACTGAAGAATCGGCTCAGAGTGAGGAGATCACTGGACCCCTGGAAAAGTTAAGTGCCCTTATATTAAAAGTCAGCAGCTACAGGATTTGTATCTGCTGACTGTTAATTTTTTGGAGGGAGCCTGGAGCTTTGCTTTATGTATATAATAAGTAGGAGAATTTATACTTAGGCTCTTTTCATCCACTTACCTGGGTACGTGACCCTCTTGGCAGTGCTGGCTCTTCAATCTCTCTCACCAGCTGGCTCAGGCTGTGCTCCAGTTCCTCCTGCTGATCCCCCAGTGGATCTGTGATGCGGGGGGAGCTTCTGGCCAAAAGGTGAGAGTCTGCATGCTTCTCCTCCATCTCTGCCAGTCGATCATGCTCCTCCCGCCAATCATCATCTGCAGAGAAAAGAGGATATTTCTCCTTGTTATACCCCTACGCAGAAATGCAAATTTATGTATATATACGTGATTTTGCGCGCACCCATACCGCCCTGTAGCAGTGTTTTCTGCTATAGGGTGGTCGAAAAGTGGTTAATGAATTTTAGCAAACACAATATAATACCCAGGCTTTTGGTAAAGTATAAAAAATGAGGTTATGCTGAGTAAATCGATAGCAAACATGTCACGCTTTAAACTTGCACACGACCGTGTGAATCCCACTACAAAGCTGCCTGAAAAACATTTCACCCAAAACTAGCAATTGCACTGGCATGAACAGTGGAAAACATGTGAAAAGACAACCAGGTAGCAGCCTTAAAAACTCAAACCAAAGCTTGATACTGAATAGCCCAAGAAACACAAACTCCTGGTGGAATGGGCCTTGACCAGAAAAGAAGGAACCGTGCTCCTAATACTACAAGCCTGTGAAAAGAGATGAATTCACCTAGAAATAGTGGCTCCAGACTCTTGTGAGGACCCAAGAAGAACAAAGAGTCAGACTGTCGAAACAAATGGAAACTTCAGATAAATCTGAATAACATCATCCAAAGAGTGAAACACTCTCTCCTTAGGATGTTTAGGATGGTAAAACAATGTCCTGGTTCAAGATGAACAAGGAAACCACTTTGGGCAAAAAGGAGGACTGAGGTCTCAACCCCACCTTATCCTGGTGAAGAATCAGGAAAGCTTCCCTGAAGGAAAGTGCAGCCAGCTCCAAAACCCCAAAGTAACAGCAAACAAAAAGAAAAACTGTTTGCATAAGAAATAACAAAAGAGATCTCTCACAAGGGCTAAAAAAAAAGGTCTTTTTTTTTTAGGGGTATCAGAGTAAAGGGGGCTGAATGCAAATGGACGCCACAATTACGTGCCACTTTGTGTTGGTCGATCACAAAAAATCCCAATAAAATACATTTACGTTTCGGATGTAACATGACAAAATGTGGAAAATTTCAAGGGGTGTGAATTTTTTTTTTTGAAGACACTGTAGGTTTGGATGGACGGCTTATTAGTTATATGTATGAAATAAGTCTATCTGGGACCCTGTATACAGTCCTTCTACAGATTGTTTGGCCACTCACCAATCGCTCCTGCTCCAAACGTATCATCATTGAATTGGTCAATTTCCTCATCTTCCTCGAGGTCCGGGAAGCCATCACCATCCTCGAGAGACTGAAAAAATATCAATCGAAGAAAAAATCAGCAACCGCTGAGATTTACCATGACATTAAACCCAAAAACAAAAAATATATTGCAGCCCGTATATATCATATACTTTAAACAGTTTGTCTCAGTGTCTCAACCCCATTTTGCTGGACAGCTTGGTCTGTTTCAGGAAGTTGAAAACTAACAGACTAACTGGCTGGATCACTAAGTAAATAAAATTTAAAAAAAAAATTGGTAAGCTGTGAAATCTATTTTTTTTGGGGGGGGGGGGGGGTTAATATCCACTTGAAGACCAGTGTAGCAAACTTGCTCATCAGAGATGGACAAAGATTCCCCCTTTTTATTAAAAGTATTCATTTATCCTTTATTCTCCTTCCCCCTCCCTTCCTGAGAGGACCAGTGACAGATGTGGGTGTGTTAAAAGTTGCTGGCAGGCTAGAGCAGCAGGGGGCCCAGAGCTACAAAGCCCCCCCCCCCCCCCCCAGAGAGACAGAGCCTGGCTGCCCAAGAACCTGTGTAATCTCTCACCTGAAAGATTGTAACCTCATAAAACCTACCAGCTTAGGTGACAGAATTAAATGAACATTCCTCAAGTCAGTTTGTCCCCTATGTTTCATATCATGGATTATGAAGATGTTGGTTCTAATTCAGAGTCTGCCCGACTATCCCTCCCAAAACAGAGTATTGGTCAGTTACTCAGAGCCAGCCCCCTGCTGGGGGACTTTAAAACACGGGCTAGCAGGCCTAAAAAGTAAGTTGAAGACATCTCCCAATTGTAACATCAATATACCACCTGGGGAGACCCTTTGCTCTGAAACTTGGATCTGCTTAAGGCTAAGGCTTAATTGGCAATTTAACCCTTTAACTTCCTCTCTGATATCTCTTTGCTGTGCTATGGTTCTATATATATATATATATAGATATATATAATCTATATATATATATATCTATCTCTCTCTCTCTTAGTTACATCGTTTTCTGTAAATATTTTATTGCACCTTTTTGACTCTTTTAGTAATAAATCTTTCTTTCTGAAAGTGTTAAACTGTTTCTAAAGCGCTTTATTGGAATTTACGAACTCCTGCCTCTAAAGAGACGCTACTGTGTTTGTTTAATCCTCTGCCCAATCGGCCTGCGGTGACCGTATTGGACAGACGACTTTTCAACCATTACAGTGTATATTTGAGTTTCCCCTTTCTGTGTACAAAAAAGGGGTGGTAGCAGTGTGTAAGGGTCAGTTGCATAATTAACCTGACCCAGTAACAAGCGCATCCAGGCTGCAGGCACAGATTGAAATCCATTAGCTGGAAAATCGCTGTGTAGGGTGCAGTTGGGTGTGGCATTGTTACGCACGTCACATCGCGGTCTGGATCGGCCAGTCCTTCGGTCACGAGTTTGGTGAGAAGGTCTGGGGTCTGACGCCGTGATCGTGACATATTGGTGGTCGTGAGATTGTCGTATGTTGGTGGCGGTGATCTTGCGATCGTGACAACCAGGCCTATTCTGACACTTTTTGTTTACAAGTAAAAAGCAGCATTTTGTTTGCTAGAAAATTACCTAAACATTATATATTTTATTTTAGAGACCCTAGTGAATAAAATGGTGATAGCTGCAATTTTTTTTTATGTCACACGGTATTTGGGCAGTGGCTTTTCAAATGCAATTTTGTGGGAAAAAAATACATGTTAATGAATTTTATTGCAAAAAAAAAAAAAACCACACACAACAATACATAACCCACATAGAAAGTTTTTTACCTTCATGAATAGACTGCATGAAGGTAAAAAACCTTGAGGCTTTAAAACCACTTTAAACATTTTTGCAGGTTACCAGTTTAGAGTTACACAGGAGATCTAGTGCTTTATTTCTCTTGCTAGAACGCGCCCAGGGCGATACTTCACGTGTGGTGTGAACACCTTTTACATATGCGCACACAACCTATGCATTCGTCTGTTTCTGCTCACAAGCACAGAGGGACAGGGGCGCTTTAATTTTTTTTTTTTGTAAAGTGTTTTGTTCACGTTTATTTACTTTAAAGCAGAACTAGTTACCTTTATTTATTTTCACCATGCAGTGGGGCTGTGTCCACACTGCATAGGTTAACTGGTCGTTTCGTCCAGGGGCTCAGACAGAAGCTACACTTTCTCCGTCCACTGATCCTCCGGAAATCCACGCTCCCCCCCACGTCCAGCAGTGGACTGTTCCTGCCGTCCTCAAGTCCTGAGCCAGTCTATGGGCGATGGCAGGCGGCGAGGAACAGTCTTGCACTCGGAAGATCAGTGGATAAGGCAAGTATATCCCCTAGACAAAAATGAGCATTAAAAACGCATGCAGTGTGGGCCAACCTGCCTGGGAAAAAAAAATTTTTTATCCGGATGCAAACATCCCTTCTGATAAGAAATAAAGGATGACAGGACCTCTTTATGGAGACATCTAGGGTCTGTAAGACCCCAGATCTCTCATCTACCCTAGAAAGCATGAGGGGAAAAGAAACAAAAAAACAAAATTGATGCTTTACAAAAAAAAAAAAAAAAAGAAAAAAAAAAAAAAGGGAGTTCCATTTGCCCTAACCAGAAAGTGACGACATTACCTCACTTCTTGTCTCCTTCTGGTAACCGGTCAGCTCCGTAATTATCTAGCAGCACCACTGGATTGGATACCAAGCTCCATGATCGCATGGGAGAGCCCAGAAAAATGGGGTATCCCCTCCCATCACCTGTAAAAGCAATCCAGCGGCTAATCAGCTGCTACGATTGCTTTTAGATGATAAAAGCATTGTCAGCTGACAAAAATAAATACCGGAGTTATGGCATACAGCTGCAACCCCAGTATGTGATTTGGCATCAAGTGGTTAACTAGGGAAACATTCCCTAGAGCACGCTCGTCCATTCACACTTCTTCCAACTTTCTAACTGAAATCCCGTATTGAGGCTTTGGGCAGAAAACTGGAGGGAGAGTATGCAAGAGCTTGACATTGCACACGCAATTTACTAATTTCTTTTCTTTCAAAATATGTGCTTTTTACTTCCTTAAATGGGAACCTATCCTGTAATGAGGATGGCTACATTCATTCTACATGGTCCATATGTGAATGTAGCCACCCTTTTCTGTGAACTGACATACAATAGCACAGTAAAACTTTTATTTATTAAATCCAGGTTACCTACATGAATGAACAACAATGTGAATGCATGTGCATTATAATCACCAGATGCATTGGTAGCTGGGAAACAGAGGGCAGAAAGGAGCACGTGACCACAACAGACTGTGCTACGGGCGCAAGGAGTAAACATTTAGCAAAATGGAATGGAATGTGGAAGAAATGTTAACATTTTAATGAACTGCAGCGGTATAGTACACTGTGCTGGATTTGGAGGTTAAACTAGTGACTAACTCAGGAGCATGCCGGGGAGGCTGTTTTGCCACCCAACCCACTAACCCTGACTCCACCACCTGGCAAAAATGGTATTCTTGAGTGACAGTACTGCTGTCTGTGTATGTACTCGCACTAATACCTCGTGTGTGAGAGGCACAGCAGCTGGGCAGGGAACACAGTGAGGCTAAGCCTGTGATTTTAGCAGACTCAGCCTTGCTGAAAGTGGACCTTCACCTAAATATACAACTTTTAGTATTCTTACTCTTCCATCTCCCAGAAAAGAGCAATACATGACATTACCAACCCCCCCCCCATCTCAGCCTCCCAGGACAGGGGTGGGCAACTGTGGCCTTCCAGCTGTTGTAGAACTACAAGTCCCATGAGGCATTACAAAACTGACAATTACAAGCATGACTCCCAAAGGCAGAGGCATGATGGGACTTGTAGTTCACCAACAGCTGGAGGGCCACAGTTGCCCACCCCTGTCCTAAGATACAGTCATGGCCGAAATTGTTGTTGGCACCCTTGATATTTCTCCAGAAATCATGTATTTCTCACGAAACGTATTGCATTAACACATGTTTTGCTATACACATGTTTATTCCCTTTGTGTGTATTGGGACAAAACAAAAAAAGGGAGGAAAGAAAGCAAATTCGACATAATGTCACACAAACCTCCAAAAATGGGCTGGACAAAAGTATTGGCACCCTTTCACAACTGCGGATAAATAAGAATGTTACAAGCATGTGATGCTCCTGTAAACTCACCTGGGGCAAGTAACAGGTGTGGGCAATATAGAAATCACACCTGAAAGCAGATAAAAAGGAGAGACGTTCACTTAACCTTTGCATTGTGTGTCTGTCTGTGCCACACTAAGCATGGACAACAGAAAGAGGAGACGAGAACTGTCTGAGGACCTGAGAACCAAAATTGTGGCAAAATATCAACAATCTCAAGGTTACAAGTCCATCTCCAGAGAACTAGATTTGCCTTTGTCCACAGTGCGCAACATTATCAAGAAGTTTGCAACCCATGGCACTGTAGCTAATCTCCCTGGTCGTGGACGGATGAGGAAAATTGATGAAAGATTGCAACGCAGAATAGTCCGGATGGTGGATAAGCAGCCCCAAACATGTTCCAAAGACATTCAAGCTGTCCTGCAGGCTCAGGGAGCATCAGTGTCAGCGCGAACTATCCGTCGACATTTAAATGAAATGAAACGCTATGGCAGGAGACCCAGGAGGACCCCACTGCTGACACAGAGACAAAAAAAAGCAAGACTACAGTTTTGCCAAAATGTACTTGAGTAAGCCAAAAGCCTTCTGGGAAAACGTCTTGTGGACAGATGAGACCAAGATAGAGCTTTTCGGTAAAGCACATCATTCTACTGTTTACCGAAAACGGAATGAGGCCTACAAAGAACAAAACACAGTACCTACGGTAAAATATGGTGGAGGTTCAATGATGTTTTGGGGTTGTTGTTTTGCTGCCTCTGGCACTGGGTGCCTTGACTGTGTGCAAGGCATCATGAAATCTGAGGATTACCAAAGGATTTTGGGTCGCACTGTAGGGCCCAGTGTCAGAAAGCTGGGTTTGCGTCCAAGATCCTGGGTCTTCCAGCAGGACAATGACCCC